AGACTCGACGATTCAGGCATATGACTCGTCGAGTCTGCGCTGGCAATTGAAACCCTAAATCTCGGGTTTTGGAGCCTATTTAAGGGCACTCGTAGCCTCCCATTGCGACTACCAATCCATTGAGAGAAACCCTAAGTGAGCTAAATCGTTTGTGAGGAGGAGAGGCCATATTTGATCTTTCTATCATTGGTTTAGCAAGAAGAAGGTGATCAAGATCAAGAGGAGGCTGAAGGAGGTGCTATTTGGAGGAATTCTAAGCTCAGGAGTGCTTATTTGAGGTATAATCTCGATTCATCTTTTGTTTTGGTGATTGTTTATAGAGTTAGGGTTTTCTAGACCCTTTAGTAGATGGTGTTGATTGAGTATATGGTTCCTTTTCATATTAGGGTCTTGGATCTAGATCCATAGAGGTCCAGAGACCTTACTCCTTTGAGCTTTATGTGGATTGATGGTGAATATGAACTTAGGATGCCATATTAGATGTCATTTCTTCAAATAGAACCTTGGAGCCTTTGCATAGGCATCAAGCTTCGAACTTTACGTGATTATTGGGACTAGAAAGGATAGATATATTGAGTAGAGCATCAGATCTGACCTCAAGAATCCATTGGAAGTGAGCATGGTTTGGACTCGCCGAGTCCATGAAAAGACTCGACGAGTCGAGTCGAGTTGTCCCGAGACTGTGAATCTAAAAGTGACCCGCCGAGTTAAGTGAGTGACTCGGTGAGTCAAAAGAGAATCAGAGGAGTAGAGTTCACGTGTAGACTCGCTGAGTCACCCAAGTGCACTCGATGAGTCAGGTCAAAGTTTGACCGTTGACTTTGTTGACTTTTAGGGATTGGTCAACAATGGGGTCTTTGAGTAAAGAGAGGGGTAAAATGGTCTTTTACCCATCTGAGGATGCTAAGATAGGGTTAGGTCTAGTCTCAAGAGTTATATTTATGAGCGTATCTGACTTTATAGGTAGAGGCTAGACTATACTGCTACCGAGTCAGGGATTTATCGAGACATCTGAGGTGAGTCTTCTCACTATACTTTACCTTGAGTGGTAATTAGAGTTATGTGACAGAGTTATTATCTGCTATTTATGTGATGTGTTGCACTGCATTATTTCTATGTGACTTATGCCATGTGTATATCAGAGTTAGAACCGGAAGCTTCACAAAGCTAGGACCAGAGGGTCCACACAGTTAGGGCCCAAGGGCCCACAGAGTTATAGCCTCGAGTGGCTAGTATGTGTTATGTGTGATATTTTGGGGAACTCACTAAGCTTTATGTTTACAGTGTTATGTGTTATGTGTGTCAGGTACCAGTGATGATCGCGGGAAGGCACCGACATGATCTGTACACACATCCGCGGAGTTTATTATGATTTGATCTTGGGAAATGTTTTGGAACAATGATATGATACAATGAGATTTTATTAATGAATGTGTTTGGAAATGTGTTTTAAAATGCGAAAAATTGTCTTAAATTTTACGGTGTTACACTCTACAAGTGAACTCGGTGTTGGTATGCCTTCTTCATCTTATATTTCTTCAGTTAAACGAAATTTGAGATCCAAAGAAGTTCCTTTAAGAACACACGTGATTAAAGGAGTCGGGTGGCTAATAATATTAATGACATGAAATTAGTAGCTATAACTTTTGGTTGAGTATAGTTGGAACATCGGCTAATATTTGGGAGGCCTCAGCATCTTGGCTAATAAATTGATTATCGACCAATTAATATCTCACTTGTAACTAGTGATGGATGTCTATTGCGGCTGATACTTAGGAGGCCTCAAAATCTTTGTAATAGATGGACTATTTACCAATTAATGTCTTACTAGCAACTAATGATGAACATCTAATGTCTACTTAAATAGGTTCGGAAGCAATAATCCTTAGCACCTTTATTGAGACCGACTCAAAAAAATGTTTCAAGTTGAATATTGACAATTATATATATATATATGTGTGTGTGTGTGTGTGTGTTGTTACTAACACATAATTGGTAGCCATTGATATATTCATGGACAAAGTATGAAGACTCAAACAAGGGAGCTTCCTCAATTCTAAGTCTTACATGACTTGATCAACCATTAAGTTGGAACATGGAATGGATGTAAATAAATTCACCCATTCGGGTTTAGTAGAGCTTGATTGTAACACCCATCTTTTTGTAAGGTCGATGTTGAACACTATTGGTGGTTATCTTTATCTTGTACTATCGATACAAGGCATGTTAAATGTGACCTATGATTTGACATACAAAACTTTGACATACTTAAAATGTTACATCCTCAGAATGTTCAATTGGGGTTTATATAATGTATACAAGGTATGAGTCAAGTGATGAGGTCTTGAAAGTAAGATGCTATAAGTGTATTATGTGGTGTATCACTCAAACCTATTGGACTAATTACATTTATTACAAGTTGTAGCATATTGTGTGTACAAATTAAAAAATAAGGTGAACGCAAAAAGAATCAAGTGTTTTGGACTTAAATGAGAAAGTTATGTTAAGAGTAAAGGTACATTGCCCTAATCTGCTCTAAGGGTGAAATCGATGCTTTTGGGTGTATTTTTAAAGTCTAAAGACATAGGGGACAATAGGGAGGATTGTACAAAGGTTTAAAAAAGTTTAGTAAAAACAAATTGAGTATTGTGCCCCCTAGTAATCAGAATAACATAAGCAAAAACCAGACTAGCCAAGTGTCTTCGATAGGAGTCTTCATGTTGCCCATTTGGTAGGGGTGAGCAAACCCGAACCAAGAAACCGAGAAACCAACAAAAACCGACGAAACCGAAACCGAATCAAAACCGACGGTGTGGGTTTTAAATTTGTAAAAACCGACTTTCCGGGTTCGGTTTCGGTTTTGCCCCCAGAAACCGACCCAATAACCCGAGAAACCGACCCCTCTTTAAAACCGAGAAACCGACCCAGCGAACCCACAAACCCGATGCTTTTAAGTATTATTTTATGTTTATATATATATATATATATATATATATATATATATATATATATATATATATATATATATATATATATATATATAAGAAGCTTAGGTGTTTTTTTAATTATTTAACTAATTGTTACATTTCTGGAAAATGGGTTCAAACCCAAAACCCATGGGTTTAAACCCAGAAACCGTAAGTGTATGGGTTGAACCCAAGAAACCGAGAAACCGCCCAAACCGATATTAGAAACCGAGAAACCGAACCGACCAGAAACCGACCCTATTGGGTTCTGAAAACTAGAAACCGATCATTTATGGGTTGGGTTGGGTTGGGGTCCAAAACCGACCCAAACCGACCCATGCACAGCCCTACCATTTGGGGCCCTCATGTTGTCAAATCAAAGGCCTCATATATATATATATATATATATATATATATATATATATATATATATATACACACACACACACACACACACACACTAGTTATAAGTCTCGCCTAACCCAAGCGTAGCCCTTTGGTAGGGAGGCCAAGCATTTCAATTGTGCCTTACAGTCCCATGTGCCTTGCATATGACATGGTTTTTAGTCCTTTTTCAGACTAATTGTTCCATATTGTTCTATTTTGGGATGGGAGGCTTGAGAGGTGAGATTTCTCGGATTTCACTTTTTGGAAAGGGTCAGTCGGATATTCAAGGGGTTAAGACTCTTTTTATAGTTGTCTGGAAACTCTAGATTTGAACATATAATAATAATATTTCAAATCAAATAGTTATCTAGTTTTCTAGTTATCATTTATCAAATGGAGGCTTCCAGAACCCTATCAAGGGATCCTAAAAACTAGCCATCATAAGAGGATTCTAGATCATCTCCATTGTTCAACTATTGAACAATTACAGCTCAACTTTTGTACCTGTAATTAATTTCAGTTAACCCAAAATTAAGTTGATGAATTCATAATTAATTATTGTTATTTCTAATTAATATATCAATCATATATCTTTCTGTCCTCTAATCAATCCAGGTTATTTTTTTATTATGAGGGCAACTCAAAATGACTTTAATTTTATTCTTTAACATTATATCAATGTAGTTAGGAGTTTAGACACCTTAAATCAACAAGTTTATCTTGATATATTGATGTTATTATGGTGTTATGATATCACCAGACACTTGATAAATAGAAAATCAATAAACAAATTATTGCGAAGAAATATTATTGAAGTTGTGGCCAAATTGGGAGTCCGCCCCCCCCCCCCCTTTTTTTTTTTTTTTTTTTGTGTGTGTGTGTGATTTTCTTTATAGTGGGTCTTATAGGTCTCTAGTACTTGTCTAAGATGTACCAGTGTTATTTAGACTTTTGAGATCATATGTGATCTAAGATGGTAGATGTGAGCTTATAAACGGTTATACCTATGTTGATGAATGCAAGGTCCTTTACCTTTTGAAGTGGTAGAAGAGCGCTACATGATGCTAATTACGAAAGACCAGATGAGTTCATCATCCCTAAAAACAAAATGTTTTATGTTGTGAGTTATGTGCTGCTATAATTACTGTGTTGTTATTTGTATTGGTATAGTATATATTACGGTCGTACTATGTTGTTCATAATAGAAGTCATGATTAAATTCAGACCTAAATCCAGACCTAGCTGTTGTGGATTTTCCAAATGCATAAGACGTTGTATCAACTAACTAATGAAGTTTTGGCATTCTTCACTGTTTTATGAAAACAATCTTTGAATCACTATGTATCAATAATATGACAAGGGGGAGAGAAAACCATACGCATGTAACAAGATCTGAAATAAAGAACAATGCCATTTACAACTTTGTATTGAACAGATTAAAATCTTCTTCTATGCAAGTACCAAATCCTAACTTGTTACAAATCTGCCCTTGTTTATTTTTATTTTTTTCCCTCCATTTCCCCAAGTCTGCCATCAATTTGTCAAATATATTTTTTTTACTTAAACAGGGCCTTACTCATTCATTGACAAATGATTTGATTAAGCTGTAAACACAGATTAAAAGTAACCACACTGAAGTTTGTATATTTAACTTGTGTCAGGTTCCAACTTTGGAACAATAGCAGATGATAGCTCTAAATGGGAAACACGAACAGCACCAATTAGTCTCTCTGGCAACTCGTCTATAGTGTTTGCCTGATAAATAAACAAATAAACATCACAAGGTCAAAATCTATTGTCTTATAAGAAAGTAATATTTATTATATAATAAGAAAAAGATTATGAAAATAAGATGCTATAATAATTAATAAACAGGTATTTCTCGTATTTAGTCTAAAAAGCCATAGAAGAGTTGGAATTGAAGTAGAAGGTGACAGGAGTTTAACAGACCTGTACAAGGAAAGCCATGTCCACAACAAGGCTAGTGATTGCACCAACTACAAGACCCAATACACCATTAGCTACAGTAGAAGAACCAATATCAACATCAACCTGCCAAAAAAAAAAAACATTTCAATTTTCAACAAAGTTAGTTCTGTCCAGATTAAGTCAAAGAGACAAACATCCATAGCTTTCCAGTTTAAGTGCTTAACCCATTAGTGTTTCATTTTGAGTTAATGCACTGATTAGGCAAGAAGAGAGAAAAGGAGGTATGATTTACTTCTAAGTAATTGGCACCACGGATGTAGTTACAGTCAACTGCTTTTCCAAGTAAGCAAGGTGTGCTTCCAACACTCTGTCGTACAATCCAGGATCCCTATAATAATAATTAATAAGTATAAAGATTAAGTCAACAACTATATAGTATCATGGTCAAACTTAAAAGTCAAATTACCTTGGGGACTGATGGTATGAGTTTCATCCTGCTATTACGAAACTCATCATCACCATCAACAAAACGTTGCACAAGAGATCCGGGTATTAATTCCTTGGTCACAAAATAGAAAACCATGCTGTAGTTTGTGGAACCAGGTACCTTCAACAGTAGAAAGACTCTTATTTCTTCCTTAACATAATAGATAATACATAACATTACAAACAACATGATACTTACTTGGAGATTGAACACCATGGAAAAATGCCCTTTTTCAGCAGCAACCTATACAGAAATAAGTATATAAAACATGTAAGAATAAAGAACCTGTAGAATTAACGACTTCACAGTTCACAAAATCACAACTAACTTACTTGTGCTGCACAACCTGGGCGTCTAGCAACATGGTCCATTCTTTTGGTGTCTTTAAACCAGTCGACAGCAACAAGATCCATAAGATGTTTGCCTCCAGGCATCTTTAGATTAGATTTAGAAAGGGAAAAGTTAAGAGACTTAAGAGGAAGGAAAAGATAACTAAAAATTTGTGATACAATACAAACCTTTGATTTATCATAGCAAAAACGCTTACTACGCACTCTAAAGTTGTTCCCATCAGATATTCTCCAACAATCACGCCCACTTTCATTGTCATTTCGCCTAAGGTTGCCCGAAAAGCAGGACAAGTCCATTTCAACAATAGCTTCTTCTTGAACAACTTCTTTAAGAGATGGATCCATCATATTAGCTATAAAAAGAAAACAGTTTCTAAAAATATAATTAATGAATACTTTCTAACCTGCCCTTTTCATCTCCTGCTCAACACGATATGCCTGAAAACAATTTATATCCAGATAGATGTTGGTATTTGGTCTTCCAGTGAAGAAAACATTGTGTAATATAAACTTATTCCTAACCTCTTCATCAGGGATTTGGAAGTCTTCATCTTCATCTGAGTATTCATCCATCATTTTTGCAGCATTATCTAGGGACTGATTTCGATCATGAATGGAAGTCATCTGGTTTTTATGCGTCTCCTTTGATGGAAGATTACATGATGCCATATTAACCATAACTGGAATTCTTGGAGGAACAGTCCTTCCATCTGTTTGACCAAAATATTCCCGAAGTCCAGCAACACTATTTAACATTTGTAGCAAACAATGCTGCTGAAATGATGACACATAACCCACACCCCATCCCTTCAGATCAATCTGCATTAGATGCTGAACCTGTGTTCTTGGCCTCCCATTTCGAGCTTTCAATGGAGAAATATTAAACCCTCCACCTAAATCACACAAACACATAATAGTAAGCATTACAATATTACATAAAGCTCAATGAAGGGAAAATTTTACTCTCAATATGAGCCCGAACATATCCTGGTTGTGGGCCACAGTTTTCATGCTCTCTTGAGCAAAACAGCACAACTGCAAGATGACAAAAACATACATATATCTAAATATTATGATAAGAGAAGAATATAGCAAGGGTAAAATGGTAAATGCATTAACTCACCATAACTACCATCATCGTTTCTGCGCCAGTATCGCACATAACAAAGGTCCCGTGGCCATACAAACCTGAAAAATCAATTTCAATTATATAAATCTGTTGTAGGTATGAGAAAGCTTTCTGTCTCTTTATATAACCAAGAAAAATAGTAATAATAAAATAAAAACAATAAAAGTATTACGTTGGGAACCAATCGAGCTGAAGCCTGTGATAAAGAATAGCTGTATGTCCATCCACCTCCTCAACTAGGCTACCATCCTGGAAACTACAGTCCCATCTGCATATGTTTAATGAATATATATATATATATATATATATATATATATATATATATATATCATGCTATGGAGAAGAGATAATTATATAAAAAAAAAAAAAAAAAAAAGGGACACCAAAGTATAAATGAATTTTCAACAAAACTCACTCAGAACGTGTTCCATCCATACTCATTATAAGCTCAAATACTTCTTCACAACTGGCTTCCACAACACCAGAAGCTTTCATAGCCCTACTACAGCTCTTTGGCTGCATAAAAAAATAACATGAATTGTTTTTCCTATTACAGTGTTGTAATTATGTAAATGCAAGAACAGAGATATAAGCAGATAATCCTTACAAGAAAATCAACTTCAAGAAGCTCTTCAAAGATACGAAGTCCTGGAAATTTTAACAAGATAAATCCCATTAATACCCATTATTTCATTACTTCAAGTAACAGAGTAGTTAATAAGACTATGTTACCATTCTGGCATTGAAGAAGCCTCCAGTGTTTCCTAGAAATTGCTTGATTAGTTGCATTTTGGCTTGCTAATGTAGAACTTTCTTGAGTCCAATCCAATATAGATTCAGGAGGACCTGCCAAATAAAGGAGCTTTAAAAAGGTAGAAAAGCATGCAAAAGACTGATTAATATTATATCAAACAAATGAAGAAACCAATTATACCATTTCCAATTGTTGTTCTTCGAAGTAAGCTTGGATTTGAATCATCTTCATCTTCAGCAGCACTATACCTATAAACCAGGAACAGCTAAAACTATACGTAAAGAAACCCATGATAATGGCTATAAAGTGTATAGATGTGTAATATTAACAATCGAATGCAGAATACATGTGAAGTTTACTTACTGACTTTCCTGATCTGATGAGGAAGCATTTCTTCCACTATCCATTCCAGATTTATACTCAAAAGACTGATATTTATTCCCATTAGCAGCTAGGGACTCCTGATGCTTCAAGTCATTTAAAAGTCAAAGATGTATGTGATCAGTAGGTGGAAATAACAAGACTTGATCATACATACATGTCAAAGTTTTTCTTGAGATAAAATAAATATTAAAACAATAGCTAGCAAAGATCTGGTTATACCAATAATATGAGTTTGTAAGAAAAGATACCTGATCGATAACAGATTCTATTTTTTCTTTCCAGATAAGTGCCTCTTGGATGTTAAAAGCTGCCATCTATATACAAAAGAGACAATTTACTCAACACCAAACAGTTGCAAATTAAAAATGGTTCCTTTTCCTTATAGATGAAGAAGAAAGGAGAAAAAGATCGCATACAGTCATCCGATGGTATTTCTCTTTCTTGTTGTATATAAGCAAAACATACACCATCTGTTCCCCCAAAAAACGAGTGAAGTAAAATTAGCACAATATGCCAACAACAGGGAACAAACTACTTCATGCCCCATTACTGAAAAGACAGCACTACAACATGGCATAATCCTTCTAAACTAGCAATACAACCAAGCTTCAAAAACAAGACATGTGTCCTATATGCTCCAAGATATTTAAGTTCCAATCCACATATCAACAAATACACTAAAAAGGTGGATTAAAAGAAACTTACAAGTCCTTGTTGGGTTTTTAACCCTCGGTCCTCCACTCTACAGTTGCCATCGATAACCAATGTCTTGATTGGAACCTAATGAAACCCACAGTCAAATGTAATTCAAGTATAAATACATTTCATCTGCTCCAACAGGTAATGCTTCCAACCAAAATTCACTACGATTTATGAAACGCAAAAGCCTGATTACTGAAGAAAGAACAGACCCAAATGCAAAATTGAAAAGCATACAGCATAGTACATGCATTCGGTAATTCAGTTCAACTTCACTGTTGACTCTTACCACATTATCTTGAGGCTTCCTCTTGTAATAAGCAAGCAATCTCGATTCCAGCACAAAATACCGCATATGTATAAAAGATCTCCCGATTTTCCTCCTCCCATAACGCACCATCCACCCTTCATACACTACTTTCGAATTCGACATCTTAATCTGCGTTTCTGATCCTCAATTATCAATAACCACTAGTCATTGCCTTAAACCCTTCACCCCAAAACTTAATCAATCACTATACGTAACGTAATCATTTAAACCCATAAACCTAAACCCCACACTCCAAAAACTCAAGAATATATCTCTTCAAAATCGAATCAACATCATCGATCTGATGAACCTAGATATTCCGGTCAAACTAAGACACAAGTCAAAATCGGCCTGCAAGGTTGGGTGAAATTGACAAAATGTTTGACGTTACTATTCAGCGGCTGACGTATAGGAACAAATAATTCGTATGTATATGTGTGTGTGTGTGTTGGAGTGTGTGTAACTTGAAGGAGACGAAAACATACGATCAATCTTTACTGTTCACGGCAGTTGATGATGTCGGCCTGCAAGCAGTATGTAGTGTGGGGAATATGAGAGAGAGAGAGGGTCAGACAATGGGATTATCAAATGGAAAATACTTTGATTAATTTTACTTCATTTGAAATATCAAAATTTTAGTGATTTCCCTAAATAGAAAAAAATGTCGTATTTTTATAGTATTTTTTTTTCCCTCACTAAATACTTTTTTTTTCTAAAAAAACCTTGTATTTTTTATTTGCCTCTTTTAGCATTTTTTTTAAAGCCTGTTAAATATTTGAGGTTTTTTTTTTTTCATTTTTTGAGAGGGAGGTGTTAAATTAATGGTTTTTTGAAAAAAATAAAGATAAAACTTCAAAAATGATCTATGTGGTTTCCGAAAATATCAAGTTTAATTCTTAAGTTCAAAAAACCTTACAGATGGTCTCTGTGGTTTCAAAACTGTTAACAAATGGTCCTTCCGCCTAACTCCATCAGTTTTCTACCGTTAAGTGAGGGGCATTTTCATCATTTCAATACACAGGGACCAGAGGTTTTCTCTATTAAAAAAAAAAGAAAAAAAATATAATTATTTAATTAAAGGGCGCCACCCTCTCTCTCTCTCTTTCTCTCTCTCTTCAAATTTAATATTTATTTATTTATTTTAACAGTTAAAAAACAACAGAGGACCCCCCCTCTCTCTCTATACCATTTTTGTTTCCCTTCTTTTTCATCGTCTTCTACAACCATAAAGATCTTGTCTTTTGGGTTATATATTTTTTTCATTAGGCCATTATCGTTTTCCCCAAATAAAAGTCGACGACATATCTTGATTTCCAAGAGATTCTTGTTTTAAATCTTGTAACTTATGCTATAAATTTTGTAAAATGATTTGGGTTATATTTTCTGCATTAGGCCATTGTGGAAACACTGAAGAAGCTCAAACACACCACACAAAGAACACTAAAATTGGCTCGGTGCTGCTTCAGCTTCATTTCTTCACCACTTCAGCCAGGTCAAACCACATCACCAGCGAACACTCCTAGAAGTTCAATTAATTAAAAACCCAATATGAAGAAACTACACTCAGACGATTCAATCAAGGAGAGTTGTGTTCGGTCGCTACCTCACTGGTGGTAGTAGGCGCAAAGGGCTATAGGTGGCGGGCGATGGAGAACGGTTGTTGTAGAAGAGGATCATGCCATTAGCTTCTCGATTTGGAGGTTAAATGAAAGGATTCGGACCCATAGGCAACGGATCCGGATATATCGAGCTTTTGGGCAAAGGCTGTTGAGGAATCGAAGCATCTTAAAACAAAAAGCGAATAGAGGTGGCTCCATAGTGTTTCAAGAAGTTGGCTTCCATGGTTCTCTCTCTTGTAGAACTGTGTGGACTTTTTAATCGGAGTGAGTCCGGAGATGTCGTGGAAGCTGGAAGCGCCAGGATGGAGGAAAGAGCGAAACTTTCCCACAAAGCTTTTGACGATCCCTTTTCATTGCTTTTGTCTTCTATGGCACCAGAACATATGCGACCCCCCAGTGACGGGACTGTTATGGTGGTCGTGATCACATTGTGGAGGGTTAGGAGATGTTACGGCTTCCAGCGGTGAGAAGGAGGTCATCGGACCTCCTATGTGGGTTTCAGATTCTAACTCGAAGACAGTGGGGTTGAAGCCTTTGTGTATGTGTCAATTTAGCTGGATTTGGGTGAACTAGGGGGTAGGTTCTTGTGTTCATTGTAAGAGAGAGAAAGAAAGAGAGAGAGCGAGAGCGAGAGAGAGAGAGAGAGAGAGACCCTTTAATTAAATAATTATATATTTTTTTAAATAGAGAAAACCCCATAAATGGTCCTTGTGTATTGAAATGACGAAAATGCCAATCACTTAACAGTAGAAAACTGACGGAGTTAGGCGAAAGGACCATTTGTTAAAAGTTTTGAAAACACAGGGACCATCTGTGAGGTTTTTTGAACTTAGGGACTAGACTTGATATTTTCGGAAACCACAACGACCATTTTTGAAGGTTTGTCAAAAATAAATAAAGGATTAAGAGTTTTTTTTTCAAAAAAAAAAAGTGGAAGGTTCTTTTAAATATATTAGTTGTTTACCCACGTTAAACAACCGGTGCAAATAGTTTTTTTCATAAATTAGTTTCTACAGACGATTAATTATTTTTCTCAAATAATTTACTACATATAAAACAATTATCCATAAAAGTCAAGTTAACAGAGACAGAAATTAATAATAATTAAAAATAAGAAGTTGAGATTTTTTACAAATATGTAATGACACATGATTGAACACGTGATTGATTGTATATTATTAATCATGCAACATTTTTTATACATCATATTTAAGGTATAAATTTAAGTGCTATTGAATTGTTTGTTAGATTTCACTTAATACTTTTGTATAATTTATTACTTCATAATGTTTTTTTAACAACTTTTTGTAGCATTTATAGTAGAAATATTAGCAACCACATTCCATTTTTTTCTATATTTTTACTGACTCCGATATACTTTGATTTCAAGTGGTGGTAGTTTCATTCCAATAGATGACAATTTAACCTAAAAAATCATTTTAGATGTGGTTTTTATTTAAAACTTACGATTATTTTATAATAAAGTCACAAAATACAATTTACCCATATACCCCCAAATATTAATATCCCAAATCTCCCATAACCTACTCACTGAAGCCCTTCTATTTGTTTCTTGCATTACCCAAAAATTACGCCTTTCAAAATCATCTTGTATAGTTGTATTCTTCCACACCATTCTATTCAAGTATCCATTTATTATAAGACTCAACCAACATTAGAGTAAGAAAAAATAGTTGACATGTTGAAACGCATATAAATAGAATGTATGAAAGAATGTTTATCTTGCAAGCACTAAATTGTTTAAATCACTGATATGAAATGATGGCTTGTAAGGAGAAACAAAAGGTCTGTAGATTATGATGATCTTGTTGAAGATATAAGAAACGTGTGAAAGCGGGAAATTAGAAAAAAAAAAAAAAAAACAAAACAAAACAAAACCACAAGTATGATTACCATAGATTCAGAAGAGGAAATGGTGTTTACCTGGTGTGACAGGGTAGCATAGACAAAGAGACAAAGTAAAGGCAATATAGCAGAAGTGTACTACCCTCAAATTTTCCTTGTTCTTAACATGAACTCTAGTGACATTAGGTTCCAAAATCATACAATTGAATCGAGGTGAACGTAAAAGCAAACATATTAGATCTCAATAATTATCCATGTGGTTTGGATTCAATATAATCTTTAATGACTGTCAAATATCAATCACTTTGTTTACTTTCGAAATACGACAATTCAAGATTAATGATTTAATGCTTCACGATTACAATAAGACATCTTATAATAATTCAAGATATCTATTAGTTTTGACTTTTTAGGACTAAAGCAAAAATATAGTCTCATTCTTTTTACTTATCAATTTTCATGTGAAAAATACGTGCCTATTCTTATATAATTTCAAACATAATGTTTTTTTACTCGACATTTTAATGCAACTATCACCGCTAAAATTTAAGAATCATATTCAAATTTTGAAATGAAAATCAATTGTGATTATAAGAAGTCAAAATTGAAGCATAGCATAGTAGATTTTTCTAAATAAACAATAGAAACATAGAAAGTTTATTGAGATGCAATGGTTTTCATACTTGACTGATATTTCATCAATATGCAAACCATTTCTTCATAACTTCCATTGTTAATTTAAACATTAAAAACATTCGGATTCCTTGTTAGTCATTAATCTGAAATCTTTCTCTTATTTGGTTTTTAATTAATGTATTTAGAGATTAAACTATTCATCAGCTTCCATTATATAACAACAGTGATAATTGTAAAAAAAAAAATCTAAAATTTATTTCTATTTTATGGATAAGGTGCAGTAAAACGATCTTGAATTATGGTTCATATGAAAATGATGATGACAAAAGTCAGATTGCCACCATGTTTACAAGTATCATGGCTAAAACAAAATAAATAAATAAATAATGCAACTAATAATTTTACAAATGAGAACATAGCTGAAACAAAAGATAAACAATTCACAAAAAAAGTAATAAAAAAAATAGAATGCAAATAATAGTCATAGGTAAAATCTTCAATAGATGCCTAGATGAGACAAAAAAATGAAAAAATACATTTGAAAATAAATAAATAGAACCAGAAACTAACAATTTGATGGAGCCAAAATAAATCAATTTGACCATCAAATGTCAAACAAAGAGTGCTATTACTTCTTGTTTTCAGGGAACTATTGCTTGAAATCTTGTCTCAACTTTGACATATTTGCCCCTGATGCCACTCCCCCTGTTTTGACATATTTGACAAATTTGACCATGATCTTGTTACAATATTATACCTGAGCTATTGTCGAATCAACTCTCTTGCAATGGTACCACTATTTCATGTATCTCAAATTACAAAATTACTCGAGTCCTATTATGCTACATACACGATTATAAATCAATAAAGTAGGCAATATATGTTGGTATGTTTATTGTATCATTCACACATATCCACACTAACACATAACCATACACACATATACAATTATAGCATTGTACTTTCAAAGTACATTGCTTAAATAAGAAAAAAGAAATTCAT